AACGTCGAGAGATGGTACGGATCCCAACTCGGGTTCTATAGCTCTAGGGAGATGATAAGGGGGACAAGACTAGCCTATAAATGAGGAAGGGCGGCTATGTTGAGGGCTCTCTCTCTCTCTCACAGACACATAGGCTAGACACCATGGTCTAGGCCTCGGATGGTGGCAGCCTTATGGCTGGCCACTAAGGCTGGATTATTGGCCCAGTCGATGTTTTGTTGCTGTACATATGTGCTTCGTTCCAGATATTTACATGTGTGACCTGATGTTTATACATGTGGCCGATGTTTGTACCAGTGGCCAGATGTTTTATTCCAGTGGCTGGAAATCTTCCTGCCGTGTAGATATGTTCTTCGTCCAGTGGCCATTATCTTTGTGGCCCAATGTTTGTACCAGTGGCCCAATGTTATATTCCAGTGGCTGGAAATCTCCCTGCCGCTTGAGTGTCGAGCTAGATTGTTGTGAGTACTGATGAGTATTCATAGATGAACTTTAACCGTGTTTGATTAGTGGAATCAGAATTAGTGATGATAACATTTACCCGTGTGATTCTGGGATTACATAACAGTGCAAGTAGTAAAGTTAGAACTAGAGACGATGCCTTTTACGTTTTTGATTTTGAGATTACATAGCAGTACAAGTGAAATTAGGACTAGAAAGAATAACTTTGACAAGTGTGATTCTGAGATTACATAAGCAGTGCAAGTATTTAAGTTAGGACTAGAGGATATGACATGTGTGAATTCTGAGTTGTGTAAATGTAGATTTGCTATTCACACTTATATATGTGTTTTCTATAAATTAATGTCAGTTACCACGGTGACTAATTCTGCATTGAAATGTAAGTTTGATTATTTTTGTCTTTTTTACTTGTATTAGAAATTCAAGTGATGTTTTCTTGAATATGAAAGACTGGCCAGGTCTTATTTGTATTGTGTCTTTGCTTTTAACATATAAACATTTGTGACGTCAAACAAAGATAAATAAATGCATATTATGTGTGTTTACTATGTTTTATTTATAGTGTAAAATTAATGTTGTATTGGTGTAAAGTAATTAGTTTTGCTCAGGTCTCTTAGACCCCTTTGTCACCACGCAAAGGTGCACGGATGAGTGAATAAGATCACCTCTTCGGTCTCGACGAACCCCTAACATATATATATATATATATATATATATATATATATATATATATATATATATATATATATATATATATATATATATAGGCCTATATATAATGTGTATACCTTCATGTATACTATATTACATTCAAATCAGGGGATCGTATCTTGCTATAGTCTTCTGTAGCCTGGCACATTCTGTGAAATCAAACACAACAATTAAAATTGAAGACATACTACAGCGGGTTATTTACAAATCAATCTCCGATTCCTACTATGACTACTTCCTAGCACATGACTGTCTGCTAACACTATCTAACTGCAACTAACATTTGACTTTTCTCTACACGCTCCCATGACCAACTCAAACACTATGTACATTTTAACTATCTACATACTCCACATGTCAACTGCGTCAGACCTAACACGTCTGACCGCTACACGGTTAATCTCCAACTGCTAACATAAGACGTCTACTGACCAACACTCGTCTAGCGCTACCTATCTCCAACTGCTGACCCACGCTTCAGTGGTCATCTGACCGTCTCACGTGACCGGTCATCTCATGCAGTTCTATTTATCTACCTGACTAAGCTATGCTATGTTTATTCTTTCTTCTGCTTGACCTCTAATCTATTTTTAATGTATAACTTGCGTCGTCACAGCTGGTAGTATTTGCTTATACCAGAGGCGTAGCGATGGGGGGGGGGGGACACATGTCCACGGGCGCCGACCTCAGGTGACGCCAAATGGGTTGGAAAAAGTAATCGAAAGTTTGACGGGGGTGCAAATCGAAAGATTGTCCCTGGCGCTGGGAAGGGTCGCTACGCCTCTGGCTTATACCAACACAAATCTAAGAGTTTTTTTTTTAATTTAAATATTTTTTTTTATTATAAATACTAAAGCCAATATATTGGACGCCTTGCTCTTATGGTAGGGCATAAGTCAGCCAACCCGAAAGTCTCGAGTTGTGAAACCAGCTAAAAAGGGTAGCTGACACATTCAGGTAAAAATAAAGAGGAAACGCTGACGAAACTATCGCTGTGTATGCTAAAGTCATTGAAACAGTTAAACACTACTTTACCTGCTTCATGGATTGTCTGGTTAAAAAAAAATACTTTACTCTCTAAGTTCCTATAGTTCTACAAAGTTTTCTGTAAAATCGAATAGCAAAATCTAAAACCAAATGGTAAACAAGATATTCTGTTAATAATCAACAACCTATGCCATTTGTGGCATGTTGAGCGTGACAGTACTGCACAGTCAAGATGATAGTAACATTAAAAGCTACTAATTTATAAAACGTTTTGAGACGGGGATCGATGCGTGTGAAGGTATTTGTGTTGCTACGTGTAGGTGATGTGTTAAGTTTAGAGTGTAGGTAATTTGTTAACTTTAGCGTGTAGGTGATGTGTTAAGTTTAGCGAGTAGTTAATGTGTTAAGTTTAGCGTGTATGCGATGTGTTAAGTTTAGCGTGTAAGTGATGTGTTTAGTTTAGCGTGTAGGTAATGTGTTAAGAATAGGGTGTACATGTTTAGATAAAAATGAGTTTAGATGATGTTTTAACAAGAACATGTATGTGGTGTGTTAAGTTTAGAGTGTAGGTGGTGTGTTAAGTTTAGAGTGTAGGCGGTGGGGTGTGTTATGAAAAGCGTGTACGTGATCTGTTAAAGGTAGCGTGTAGGTGATGAATTATAAAATCGTGTACTTGATGTTCTAAGTGTAGCGTGTAGGTGATGATTTAAATAGCGTGCAGGTGATGATTTTTATTGCGTGTAGAATATGTGTTAAAAGTAGCGTGTTGTCATTTATAAAGATTCGTGTTAAACGCCCCAGTGATCTTGAGTGTTAGGCTGGCAGCTGTGCAACATGTGTGTTGGAATGTCAAAATGTTCTGTCGATTAGCCAATCAAATGTGTAAGGCTGGTGTAAATAAAGACTTTTGGGGTGGTTTTGATTATATAGTTAGAGTGTAGCTGATTGGATACCGGTACCGTGAGAGTGATGCGTTAAAATAGAGTGTAGGTAATGTGCTAAGAGTAGCCTGTAAGTGATGTGTTAAAACACATAAAATAGTGTGCTAACTTAAGTGTGGGAGTGTAGTAAATTTTAAAATTTGAAGGTATAACTAAATCACAACTACGGTAACACTTCAGCTATTCAAACTGATTATATTTCTGAATTTTGTAAAAAGGTAACCTTCATACATGTTTTGTCTTTTAAGCATACACATAAATGTATCTGCATTAAATTGATTTAAAAAAGTGAAAAAGTTTCCTTTTCAAACCTGACGGTCTATGGGGCAAGTGAAGTAGAGTTCACTTGTTTCTGTGACCTCGGCATATGAAGAGATAGTGTGGTCAGCACTATGCCCAGCCGCATTTACTTTCCCTTAAGTAAGTTAGGGGTACCCATCAGAGTTGATAGCGTTTTATAATATTTTAGTTTTAAATTTAGTTAATATATTACCAATTATTCAGGCCGAAAAATAAATAACAATAATATTTTTGTTTAATGGATAGCTTTTAACAATGTGTATATTGCAAACCATATAAGACATTTCCAAAATGTATTACAAAGTAATATTTATTAGATACTTATATAATTAACCTTTAATATAACCCAAATGTGGAGATATCTGCGAGAGACAAAATAATAAGTAATGAAAGCGAATATTTTGTAGCTGTAATATTCTGATTACTGCAAGTATCAATTTTCAATTTTAAACTGAAATCAATATTAACATTTAATTCAGTTCACAAATAAAGCAGAGACATAAATACAGTATAACTTATAATGATCACAATATTGACATGCTATTAAATAAGGAAAATTGAGTTACAGATAAAAAAAATCTACTTATGTAGTTGTTGTGATATCCATAAATACAACACATTGATCCCAGTGGGTTACGATTTTTTTGTGAATTTATACATGCGTTTACGAAAATGAAATTTATTGTCAGTTTATAAAGTGCGCTCAACCTACGCTGCAATAGCGTGATCGTTTGGTAGACCATACACCTCACACAGATGTATGATGCCATTTTCACGCTCTTGAGTAAGGGGAACGATACTGTTCCTGCACAATTCTTATCTGTATCTGCCTTAAGTAAAATACATTTTAGGTTGCTGTAGCATATTCTTCCTTTATATGCCGATATGAAAATATTATTGTACTCAAGTATTAATGAGTTTACAATGCGTCCTACGCCGAGGTATAATTAAACGGAACAAAATAAAATCGAGTATTACAACAAAGATTTATCTTTGCCTTCTTTTCTTCACGGAGCCAAAGGATGTAAAATAAAGTGATTCACGGTATTTGCAAAAATAATTTATATACATAGTAATAGAGTATACAATTTTGTAAATTAAAAACGAAATGAACCCAGCAATGTAATTTATTTGTAAAGAAATAAATTAAATTATCGAATATTCTGGAACGCATTTCTTGGCCTTGTTTTCTTCACGGAGCAAAAGGAAAAATAAAAAAAGGCGATTCACCCAATTTGAAAGAAAATGAAAATACATTCAATAAGAGAATATATTCTGGTAAATTACAAAACATAACACAGCACTGTAATGTATTTGTAAATAAATAAATAAAAATATCCCCTATTATTGCAAAACATTGTTGTTGTCTTATTGACTTCACGGAGCCAAAGAAAAAATAAATAAGGTGATTCACTCGATTTGCAAAATTAATTTAAATACATATAAATAATACTATACATTGTGGTAAATTTTAAAAAAAAACAGCACACGTTATTGTAATTTATTTGTAAAGAAATAAATCAATATATGGAGTATTATGGCAAATTATTTCTTGGCCTTATTTTCTACACGAGCCAAAATAAAAAATAAAATGTCGATTCACCAATTTGCAAAAAATAATTAAAATACATAAACAAAAGTTTACATTCATGTAAATTAAAAAAAAACAGAACACATCACTGTAATTTATTTAGTTTTCCTTACTTTCTAAATGGAAACACATTTCTTTTAAATAAATGCAATTTATTTTAATATAACATTGAACAATGTTTTAGATTATATCACTATCTGAAACGTTTAATATCAAGCCATATCAGATACAAATTCAAAGGTATTACTGTTACATTCTTTCAACGTCACTTACATCTGAAAGCATAAAGAAATAACTTTCAGCTAGTTTTATAATGAAGCAAATAATTATTAGCATTCTAGTAGTTTGTTTTCATTGATACTTTACATTAATTGCAATTTACGTTCTTAGCATATCTCTATATCTGTGCTATTTTTTAATTTTTACCGCGTATTTAACTACATACGTAACAAAAGTTGAGGTTGTTGGGTAAATTAACTTATAGTATATTTAATTTATTTTTATAAAACATAATTGTTATGAATTCATGATTTGATGTCGTTGATGACTGCAGTGAGAGGTTAAAGAGTTGTGTGGTGATTCAGACACATCAACAGTGGATTACTTAATTGTTACAGAAAACACCAACACAATCTTAACTCAGCAACTTTAATGTAATTAATGGTGAAACTAAACACTACATCATAGTCTTAGTATGGTCTAAAGAAGAGGAAAAACGTGTTCATCAATAGCGGCCGGCGTTAGGGACCAGCCCTAACACACTTGACAAAACAAAACACGTCTACATCCTTACGAGGCTAATGTTCAACTAACCTAATTCAATCACCCGCCCCCAGCTTCACCCTAATGTAACCCAACCTCTGCCTGACCCCAGCAGTCTCACGAGGGGCGGGGTGTCTAACTTGTGTATGCATTAACTCTTTATGACTGGTACAACTAAAAGCTATTCAGACTTGTATCTAGTGAGGGGGAAGTACAGTCAAACACACTTAGGACTATTTCTAATACAACTATTATAATCTATCTAACCTATACACAACATAACAGCATGCACAAAACCTATAATTAACTTTAAAACTATATTTTACCCCAGTTCCTTACCCTATGCTAATCCCATTTTTAACATTTCCCTTCTCGTTTGACAAGCTGACAAAGCCAGCGAGGCTCACACTCTACATACATTTTGATTCATCAACAACTAATACAATAAAATAGTGGAAAATAGCATAGGTAGAAAAAATACACTTCACAACGTTCCAGGACGATCAGGTGTTTCCACAAGAGAGTGACAGTGTACAGTGTTGTAGTATAAACAGTGAAGATCAAACAATTAATAATAAATGGTACTAAGTAATATTAATATTATCCCTATGCAGTATTATATAGGCCGTATCTAGTATTAATCTCTAAGGTATTGTTTCATTGCATTTTTTAATATAGTAACTCATTTCCGTAGTATATCTATCCTTAACTGTACGGCAATATGTATCTAACGACACATATTATTATTGGTTGTACACCCGTATAATTTCAGCATGATAGGGTTACGTAGTCTTCAATAGATCATAAGCTACAACTTATATCTACTATATATACTTCTCACAATGGTAAAACTAAGTAATATAGCCATAATTATAATTAGTTTCTCTACAAAATACAAAAACTCATTGAGATTCCAAAAACAAAAAAAACAAAAAAAAAACCTAATAGAAAAGGTATACTCTGCAACACATCATCGAGATACCATCATAAAAAACCATCATCGTCCTATCAAGCGGTAATATCAACCGGCATAAGCTTATCTCCAATTGAACTACCAGATTAACAAAACACAAAAATTCTACAAAAAAAAAATAACTTTAAGCTACAGTGTTCATTTATCTTACAATTAAGAACATAAATCCTCTGCATACAATTATCTGAAAGTAGAACTAGTTTCTGATGTATTGGTATTATTAAAATTTCACAATTCTTGTCTGTGGAATCTAAAAAGTGAAATTTTGTGATTTTTTAAGCAGGTCATTGAAGGCGGGCCTAAATAAATGTAAAAGTTATGATTATCTTGTAAAATGCCCTTACTTTATGATTCTTACTTAGGTAAGCTAACTTCTAACAAATGCAGTTAATAATCCCAACTATAGAAAGAAATACTTAACCGGCATTTAAACTTGGGCATCTGACACACAGAAGAGTAATAACGCTTGATATTATAACTAGAACATATTAGAGCTTATAATTTATGAATCTAAATTCGTCGGCTTGGATATCTGGACATTCGGTGGGATGACATCGACACTTCATTTTAACATCATGGGTGTAAGAGTACTTCATATCATCAGGGGTGTAGGGATACTTTACATCATCAAGGATTGAGGGATACTTCACATTATCCGGGGTGTAAGGATAGTTAATATTATAACAGTTCAGATATACTTTAAACAACGACGATTTAGTCACTCGAACTTGTCACTGTAGACTTACTTCAATGCTGAACATGGTTAGTAAATTCTTCTATTCTGATACGTCATCACTGGCAGTGGAGTTATGTAGTCAAAAGAAGTGAAAGTCCTAATTTATGTACAAATTGTATCTCAGAAATATCTGCACAAAACTTGAAAATAAGCTAATAGTTACTTTTCTGTCTTACGGATTTTGAATACAACAGTTCCAACATATGTAGATCTACGTAAAACTTGACAACAACGAGTTTGACGATATACAGAGACAACTTGTGACAGGGTCGTGATGTTATAATATTGCTATACAATAACAGATCTGCATCCTTTGAAAATCATACATGTTACAAAATTCACAATACATTTTGAGAAAGTTCTTTTTCGCTGTTCTGACGTATTTTATAACAAGAGTTATGTTCGCCGCTATATCCGATTATGTAATAACTGGTCGCTTTTTAAGTATCTCGAAGTTTTAGTTTCACCATCCATAAAATTAAAGTTGCTGAGTTGAGATTGTGTTGGTGTCTCCTTTAACAATAGAGTAATATACTGCTGATGTATCTAAAACACCACAAAACTGTTTAACCTCTCACTGCAGTCATCAACGACATCAAATCATGTACCAACTATACTGATGACTACATAACAATAATGCTATAAAGTTTCTAAATATGCCACCAAAAATTAAAAAAACCCACCCACACCAATAAACACCAACAATTCACAACAATTAAATCAAACTATTTCCTAAAAGAATTGTGTTTACTTTCTCGTATACGAAGTATAGAGAAAGTATTGTAATCGTGCTAAAAAAATCGAGATTTTTTAAAATCTCGACGTTTTACACCTCCCAGAGTCGGAAAAACATAGTTTTGCAATCTTGTCCGTATGTCTGTGTGTGTGTGTCTGTGTGTCTGTGAACACGATAACTTGAGTAAGCTACCGTTACAACTAGGTTCATGAAATTTCATAAATAAGTATTAAATCAAATGTATTGATTTGTATCAACTTTTCAGCGATTTCCGATAACCGGAGTGGAACTTTTTGTACTTTCAACTTTTGAAAAGCCTATAACTTGAGTAATTTTTCAGACAGATACATGAAATTTTACATTTAAGTAAAAAAATCTAATTCTCTGCCTTCTTTCAATTTTTGGGTAATTTACGTTGACCGAAAGATGCAATTTACGCTATTTCTGATTTCTCAAAAAGGCACGTGAATTTATTAAGTATTAATATAATTCCGCACTACTATGCACATTTTGATTGGCGTTTGCTAGGTACGCAATTCTTGTTTCTACAAGATTATATTCTATTTTATAAAGTTTATATCCCGAGTTGCCATCCCCCGTAGTGTAATATAAGAATATTCGAGAAAGTTTAGGGGAGATCACTCCCCTTTTTATTTCGATACAATTTTTCCTTTTTGACTTTTTTTTTACTTTATTTCCTAGCAGAAGCTGTGACATTTTTCCTGTGACATTTTTCCGTTCACCGAAAATTTGCCTGGGGGTGGGGTTACCATATTTCATATAGCAATTAAAGGATGACCGTAGGCTATAGAATCCGAAATATTTGGGTTAAATAGCTAAAAGGTGTTAGTACCAAAATAAAAAAGATATAAATTTATATGAGCATATTGTCACTTTTATCGAAAACATGTGTACCTTGTGTTCTACAAATTAGAGACATCAAATCCGATCAAATTAAAAAATAATATCACCCCATCAACTACCTGTTATAAACGGGTCCTCCCTCAATAAACTTCTTGCTGATGGCCTTTTTTCTGCCTCAGTTTCAAATGTCTTTGATAAAAATTCTTCAAGGTAGTATGACGCTGATTCGGGTAGTTCATACTTTGGTTTCTGCAGGGTCGCACGTTTAAATAGCACTCTAGCTGACGTTGTTACTGAGTTTGGTGGTGATCCAGTGATCATCTCTACAACAGTACAGCCCACACTCCTATGTCATAAAATGTTCTGTTATCACATAATATGTACGCAGTTTGAGAACTAAATCCACTTATATGTCTGACTTTGTTTCAGACATGTTAAAATTAAGTGCGTCGTTCAGTTTTAAAGTAAGAGACATAATAAAAACGTATTTTTAAACGCTGACACTGTTTAATCAAATAATAAACTCTTACGAAATGTCTAAACTCGATAAGTTCTTAAAAATTCTACCCTCAGGGCAGTCAATCATTTCTGGAGCCATATATCGAGTTGTGCCCCTTTCTGCCTCAATGCCTTCATCTTCATTGAGAATAGATGAGAGACCAAAGTCTGTTAATTTAATATGTGAGTCGTCCACCATCAATATATTATTACCTGTTGGAATAATTTTTGAAATCAATAACTAATATAATGCTTTATTACCTTAATTATTATGAGCATCTTTAAAGAAAAAAAAATCATAAGAATGTAATTGTATTTATCAAAAGTAAATTAAGGATTAAAAATCAATCTTTACCTTTGATATCCAAATGTAGAATATTTTGTTTATGTAGATATTTGACACCTTCAAGAATTTGTTTAGCTATTTTTCTAGTGTGAGCTTCATCAAGTCTTTGCCGATTTTTAATAAACGTAGACAAGGTTCCCTAGTTAATTAGGATTAAATAGCATAGTTAAAACCAGAATAAGAAAGTGCGACTCCTAATCGCTATAAGAAATTAACACATCAGATAAATGTATTACATTTTTTTAAACACCGTAATAAGTTGAGGATATTTGTATCATACAAAATGAACTTTGTTTTATTGACATCTGTATAGTTTTAATTTAATAGCTAGAGCTTCCTCTATCGAAATGATGTACCATCAAAGAATAGCAGGTTGGGTCCAACGAGCTTTGAAAGTAAATGTATGATTTCTGAATACAAACATATACCAAAGTACGTACATTTACTTAAAATCAGATAATCATTGTCCTAATCTATTATTTCTTTAATTTTTATTAATAGTTTTGTCTGGTAACTTGATGAAACGTAATCAAAATAATTGCTGTTAATATAACAAAATAATAAAGATCCATTACGTATAATTTAATTCAGTGCATTTAAAGAATTTTGTTCGCTCTTCGTATAATAGTTATTTTACCTTCTTCATGTACTCTAGAAATAAAAGCATTTCATTTTCTTTGTTCGTATACCCATGGAATTGAACTATCCTTTCATGAGTAAGCTTTATTAGTATGGACGCTTCAGCTTGAAAGCTTTCCTGATAAATTAAAAAATACATAAACAAAACTTTTACAGTAAGCATTTAAATGCTTGTAAAACTTAAAAGTAAAACTAGTTTGCTTTGCTTGTTTTTCATAACAATGTATCGAATAGTTGCTCAATATAAGTTAAGTGTTGGTTTTAAAAAGACGTGTTAAATTGTCATGTTTAAAGTAATAGGAAATTTGCAGTTGATAATGTTTTTAACCATTATATTGGTATATTTGGATATTTTATGTTTTACAATAAAAACTGATTATTATTATATATTTAAAAAATTGCTTAAATATAAAGGAGAAATACAATTGAACGAAATTCAAATTTTAATGTACCAACAACTTTTTTTTAATGAATGGAGAATCCAGTGTTTTCTTTGCAACAAACTTTTCATCGGATGGATTTTCTGTATCGATGACGAGATGGACGCTGCAGAAACCACCTCGTGCTAGGGAACCTTCGCTAATCTCGTACGACTTGGGAAACTCGTCAGAATAACATTTTTCTGTAGTTGAAAAAAGGTTTTAATAAACCACACATACAAAATGATTGAATCTACAACATATTTAAAAATAGTTACTATCTAAAATATTAGATTCAATGTCGTTTGATTAAACAAAATGAATATTTATTGAAATTCATTTAGCATATTGTTGCACATGATGTGCAACATATATGCTAAATAAATTGAGTTGCAAGATTCTATAAGCGATTTATTCTTTACTTTATGAATGATTTTTAGTACGTAATAACAAAAGTAACTGACTTCAACATTGTGAAATTACTAATATGGATACTTTACCTAGCTTACTAAAAACTGATAATTTTAAATACAAGATTTCGTTTTGAACTTACAATAATTTACCTAATATAGACGGGAAATATCCTGTTGTTCGGTAAATTCTCCACAAAATTGACCTTGCAACATCAGCAATATTCTTATCATTGATTTTTAAAAAATCTACTATTTTTTTATAAAAGATTTCGTCACTTTTAATTTGTTTACTTGCTTCAATGTGTTTACTTAGCTTTTTCAAACATTCCGCAGTAAAAAATTGTTCTTTGTGTTTGCTTGATGATAGTATTTCTTTTAGCGTAGGAAGAAGAGGAATGATCTGTTGATGAATATTAAAAGTCGAATTATTAAAAATAAACTGTCCAGTTGACCTTGTTTAAAATGTTTAATTATTTGAAACAAGGTTTGGCATTGAAAATTGATAAATTAATAAATACATTATGTTTAGGTAATCAGCTCTTAAATTTGGAAAATACAAATGTCAGAATTTAAAAAAAATCATACAACCTCCTTAATTGTATCGTCATCCTCTAAATATTCCACAAGACATTGAATAAGTTCAGAGAGTTGAAATCCAAACAGCTTCACCTTATTCCCTTTAACACTTTCCATTATGATATCTATTATAATTCGTTTTACATTATCTGCAATTCAGAACTTTTGTTTTAAATTAATGTAAGAAAAAGTATTAAATATTTCACTTCATTTTATAATATGATGGCACAAACACACACACACACACACACACACTTACACATTAAACATTAATAGGTGCATATATTAATTAATAGCAAATGCATATTTTGAAATGTATTTAGTAATTTTTTAATGGCAAAAGGAAGTACCATAAATCTCTGTTTCTCTATTTGAAATTCCTGCAATGTGTAAAAGCAAAATCTGTGAAGGAATGGCGATTTCCAGATCGAAAACTGTCATATTTGACACTACCTGTTCATGTACTTTAAAACATACTAGTGTAAACATATTGTAGCATAACAATAAGCGTATTTATATACTCATTTATATATCTATATCTATACCTAATAACTATCTATCTATATCTATACTTATATATCTATACCTATAAAGTAAATATATATATATATATATATATATATATATATATATATATATATATATATATATATATATATATATATATATATATATATATATATATATAAATATATATATATGTATATAGATATAGATAGACGTATATATATATATATATATATATATATATATATATATATATATATATATATATATATATATATATATATATATATATAAACATATATATAAACATATATATATATATATAATATATATATATATATATATATATATATATATATATATATATATATATATATATATATATATATATATATAATTGTGTTGGTGTTTTATTCTAGCAATTCAATTTGCATCATAATACAATAATAATTTTTACAGTCTACAAGTTTTTGTTCAAAAACTCATTAAAAGATAGAATATATATTACACCAGTTCCATTTTAATTCCACTTCGTTTAATTAACGAGACTGACATCCTTTTTGTAAACTTACTGTATTTGTGTTAGAACAGGTAAAGTAATCTTTGTGACCTCTTTTGGCAATATTGTGCAAAATATAAATCATACTTTTCGCAATAAAGTCAAGAACGGAACTCTGTAGATTAACATGCAACATAATATTATTAAATTTTGCAATGTATAAATATAAATATAAATATATATATATATATATATATATATATATATATATATATATATATATATATATATATATATATATATATATATATATATATATATGTATATATATATATATATATATATATATATATATATTTATAATTTTCTTTACGGAAATGTTTTCATTATTTCTCGAGAACTGTAGCCGATTGAATTGTTTTGATAATTTAATCCCAGTTAATAATCTAACCTTTGTTAATTTTTCTGATTATTCAAAAACACATTATTACAGTGCCCTCAGCGTCTCATGTCGACCTTTGGGTGCGAAAACTGAAATGTTTTGTTCTCAGCCGAATCGCACCCTAATAGGGTGCCGGCGGACACGCCTAATTCAATTTAATGAGCGACTGTAACGCCCTATGTTATCCATTGTTTAACGCACTGTTTTTAATTAGCGAATGCATGTTATATTTCTTTTTTAGTTAATTGAATTTATAAACAGATTTTTACCTGTCGATCTTTTAGCTGCATTAGAAACTTGGTAAAAATCTGCACTACCCCCAGCTTAGCCAATTTCTAAAACATAGTTATCAAAGCTGATGACTCTCGGTTAAACTCTGCTTATTTAAAATGAAAACAAATGTGTTTTGTCTTTATTGTTATTAAGTTAAATCGATTATTACAATATATTTGTTGATTGGGAAAAAATAAAACTTTAAAAAAAAAAGTTTTAATTACCAGAGCGAATTTAGAACTGAAATGACTTCCTTCCCACAACAGCAAAAGCACAACGCGAATTAGAAATAATGAAAAGCATGGTGTTGAAATTTCCAGCTCTACTTGTATGTACTTAATAGTCAATTCTGTAAAAGTTATTTAATCAAAATCATTTATAAATAATATAACATTATAAATAATTTAACATTTACTGCACTTAACTACAATATATTCGGCGTTAATCCCAAAATAGCAACTAATGACCAGTACACTATTGAACTATTGTGACTCGATTTAAAATTTGGATAACATTTAAAATTGTACAATAAATCTTTAATACTGGTGTGAAAAAAAATCAAATTCCCAACTTTTTGGCGAAAGAGTATTTTAGGTAGCGACATATACATATATACATTTCAATATTTCTACCCTACATTTAAAAAAGAAATAACAGAAAAGATGGTTCCCCTTATAAAAACCGAAAAAAAAACGTATAATACATAGCATAAAAATAAAATTATAATATACGAGCCGACCCGCGGCGTATATTACGCCGCTATTTAGTTTTATTTTCTACTTTTCAGTAATTCATAATTTGTGAATTCCTCAGTACCAATGCAGCCCCTGAAAATATTTGCTTTAAAACACTAAAACCCACCTTCTCCACCCCCCCCCCCCCCGCGTGAAAGCAGCCTCCTGTTTGTTACCTCCCCTAAGTTTAAAATAGTTTCAAACTAAATTATCTGCCCCTAATAGCCGTATAAGCCTAGAGAGGAAGAGAAGGGACTGCTAGGCGCGCTTACAGCTTGGTGTTTTCTAACGTCTCCAAGAAGAAAATTATAAATATAGATAATATAATATATAATATATTTATCATCAGAGACGTAGCGAAGGGGACAGGGGCGGGGGGGTGCGGACCGGGTGTCAACATTTATGGGGCTGACACCAAGGCAAAAAATAGCAAAATATATACAGAAAAATGATAATTCCACTTAAATAAATAAGTAATTAGAGTGTTAAATAGAGCAAATTTGACAAATCCCGACATGGGTGGAGGGTGGGGGTGTGACATTATGATGTAATTTATATATATTTATTTATATATATTTATATATTTATATTTATATATAGTTATATTTATATTTATGTATTATATAAACTATACCATTAATGAACAAAAGTGTTCCTGTTTTCGTTAAAAATTAGATGATTTACCTGCATAATCATTTTGCAACAGTAAATTAAAAAACTGTTTCGTCATGTCTGCATTTAATATATTGCAAATACTACTCAAGCTTTTCTGAATAATGAAAAAATGTATTGGTTCAAACGCTCCTGTTCTAGAAAATTCTATCTTTATATCCAACACATCGCTATTAAAATCTTTACAGACTTGATTCTGAAATAAATGAGAAGATTGTTTATATAATTTATATTAGATAAGTTATCATTTTTTCTAATTTTATTAATCATTGACTTACGACAAAAGTAATCACTAAGTTACACTACTTAGAACGATCTATGTTTGTTTCGAAAGTAAAATAATACAGTCTGTTTGTTTCAATTTATGAATACACATTTCTCATATATATATTTTTTAGAAAGTTTACAGTTTCAAAGTCGCAACATGTTATTGGAAATGTTTCTACTAAGATACATTGTAAGTTTAATGATTAGCCTACTACACATATAGGCCTAAATTGCCTATGTCTTTCTCTATGTGTTTGTGTGTAAGTATGTTTTACAATAACCATAAACAGCGGTATAATGATATCACTTGTCGATTTTACATTTTGAAATATGTAGTCACGTTTAATTATATAATGTAATGTTTTAAATATGTAAAACCTGATGCTCCTGATTATTTCCTGCAATCTTCAAATAACTGTTGATGGACCTAGTTATAATAAAATGTATATGCTCTTATATATAAATAAATATATAAATAAATAAATAAATATATATATATATATATATATATATATATATATATATATATATATATATATATATATATATATATATATATATATATATATATATAATTTCAATTCTACATTTTAAATTCACGCTATATATAAAACACATGGATAACAGACAAGTAATATGTCAATACAATTCTATTTTTATTGACACTACCGAGAATAATCTCTAAGTTATTAGTGCCCCAAAAAATATTTTAACAACTAAGCAGGGTGTTATTTAAATTAATATAGTTATATAATCCTGACTGTGGGTTTTTTTGGACTCTAAAACAGAGTGGATTTATTTGACGTGTTAGTATTTTTGGTTATTAAACACAATTTTTAACAAAGTAAAAAACAATTGAATTCCTTGTGGTAATGACGCATAAACGACGACATCCATGTAAAACAAAATGGCAGAACTATATCATGTGGTTTACAATAGCATAATTTAATTTAAAATTTTTATTGGCAACGTTTTGTAAACAAATAACTATAATAAATGGGGTTGTCAAAACGTAGGCTTGATGAAAAAAAAAACTAGAAATATAGCCTTAAACTCAAAACATTATTTTCAAGTTTCCTGGAATTGCAACTTTTATACTATTGATTCTAAAAATATCAGATTTTTAAATTAATTTTCAGCTGAAGTTTAAATTTTTTTTTGACGGTCGTTTTGCTTGCAAAATCTAAAAGCAAATATATTTTTATCCATGTCAACATTATGGTGGAAGGATTCTTGTCAACTCGGTAGTGTCCATTTTGTGACATTTGTATATTGAATAGACGTTCAACAGACTTAAGTTTAAACATATTACAGAAAATGATAAATTAATACAAATAATAAAAAATTGTTATAAAGCTTTAAAATAAATTAAAGCTAGCTATAAAATATGGTGTAAAGTTTTGTTAGAATTATATTAAAATTATTCATATCAATTTAAATTACATTCTAAGATTTCAATGAGATAGGCCTACCCTTTTTGTTGCAATTAAATTTTACCTTTTAAAATCATGACAGAGTTTCTTTTCTCTTGCATTTAATATCGGGTCGTTTTCTATTTCAAAATCAATATCGATTTTAGTGTGGTAAAGATCTGTGTTTAAAAACAAAAAAAAAACATGTTTTTATAGTTTTTCTTCTCAAACAATACGGTAGCTTTCTTTTCTGTAAAATAATGTTTCTTAAAAAAACACCACCCACATATCTTGTTTTTAGTAAAAGCATTTCTTGACAAAATGTGTAAAAGTTCTCATGAGCGACCAAAGCTTTTGATAAAAAAAGCATTGTAACTAGAATGTTGCGAGCTAAATAAAAGCGTGTGAAAAAATTAATACAGCCTTAAAAGCACTTTCATAGCAATAATTGATATTTGAAATGTAATTGTAATACTTACAACTTTTACACAAATTGCAAAGAAACGTTATCAGGCCTACCAAACTTGACATATCCGTATGAAAATGAACAAATGCTGAAACTGTCTCTAATATTCCTACATGTCCCTCTTTAAACGCCAGAAAAATAATATTTATTAAATAAATACTAAACGTTTTTTTAATATATGTTTCATTATTAGTTTCGAATGCACTATTGTGGTCATAGTTAGTCGTCTGTGTTTTGAGCTTAAATAAATGTTTTAAAAGCATCTTTACTGTTCTGACGTGTCCGTATTGAGACGCAAGCATCAATGCATTGAGCCCACTTTTTTCAACACGATCAATATCACTTCCATGCTTTAGTAGTAATTTTGCGGTTTCACAATGTCCTTTGTGAGATGCAATCATTAATGCATCCCAGCCATCTTTTTCTACTCTTTTACAGCTACTTCCTTTACCCAGCAATAATTTTACTGTTTTATTATATCCATATTGTGATGCAAGCATTAATGCATCCCAGCCATCTTTTTTTCAACCCGATTACAATCACTTCCGCTTTCAAGTAATAATTCTACAGTTTTATGATGTCCATTTTGTGATGCTAACATCAACGCGTCCAAACCATCTACGTTAACATGATCTACTCTAATGCCGCTTTCCAGATGTGATTTTATTGTATCGTTGAGACCGTTTTTAGCTGCGTTCAGCAATGCGTTCAGCATTTCGTTCATTTTTCTGTTCAAACACACACAAAAACTACGTCCGTTGTATAGCGATACTACTGTATATCAATTTGTAGCTGAAAAAAAAGGCATCCGTTTTTTTTCTTAATTGCAGTAGCGCAGTATCATATACCAAAACAAATAACAACACGATAAATCACTCAAATTGTTCATAATAAATCACATATAGATATCGATCTCTTAAGAACTGAAACTGAAAATGAAAATTCCCAATGTTAATAGGCCATCATATCGCATCCATTTTAAACTCGTTATTAAATATCAAATATTTAGATATTCCATTAAATTATTTAGTATTCTTAATAACTTTGGTACACCTATGTGCAGAAAACAAATTTAAAAAGGTGAAAAAGAAAAAAAGGCTCATTCGACGTTCTGTAACTATTATTATCTGTTTTATTTTAAAGTAACAAGAGACCAAACTGTAATCACTTTGTCTTTTTATTGCATATTTTATAACCTGCTATATCTGTATCTGATTAATCTCAGAAATATCATAAGCAAGTAATTTATTAAATTCAACGTGTTATAAATAACGGTCAAATGTACACTATTATAGGAGAAATATGATTTCATAATATAAAAATAGAGCAGTATCATTATCGTAAAACAGTTTCTGTAACGTAATATTGGGTTTTTCCGAAACTACCTGTCCAAGGCGTTCTTTTTATTAAAAAAAAAGGCAGACCAATACGCGAGGAAACGAAATTTAGTCAAAACTCTTATCTGTCAAGTTGTTTATTTTTAATAAAATATAGAAATGTATAAATACATTTGTTAAAATGTAAAAAAAAATACAAAAATGAAGTTGAAATGAGTTTACATCAAGTATATTTAAAAGAAAAAAAGAAAAACGATTATGTTAAAAGACAAATCATATGTTAATTTCACTTGTATTTGGTTCGGTAACAATTTTAGTCACACACATATCAAAGGCTAGAATTATTAAATATGGATTAAAATTAACTATACTATTGGTGCCTCTGAGGTATAAATGACCATTATAACAATATATTGTCAAGTATTTGTGAAATTAGATAAACCTTAAGGATATTATATACTAAAATGTATTTTATATATATATATATATATATATATATATATATATATATATATATATATATATATATATATATATATATATATATATATATATATATATATTAGCACCTGTACATAAAAATACATTTAGAAACATGTATCGCAATGACGTGACTGTTACTTTAAATTGTATAAACAGAAAGACAATAGACTACATATGTAGAAAAATGTTGAATATCATAGTATGTTGTGATAGATTCAGGTACTTGGATTAAAACACATTGCCTATTAGAATTACATGTAGTATATCGATTTATGATGAAAAATACACTACGAAATTGTCGGTTTATTTTTACCCGTGTGGAGGGGGGGGCACTTGAAACGTTCGCAAGGGAAGGGGGGGAATGGAATTATATTCGCGGGTGACGATAAAAGTTTATATTTGTTGTTTACCTTCTATTTTGTTTGGACTGCCACCCCCCCCCCCCCTTTCAAAGTGATGCCTGATAGAAACACTTGATTTAGAATGTGTGAAAACCAACTATGTTACTGAAATAAATTAAACGGTAAATTGTTTAATCTTTCACATATTTAGGCAGCATTGTCAGTTATGTATACAACTGCATCACTGAAATTATATCACGCGTTTAAAAATAGAAGGAGCCTTTGCAACCATTCAAAAAACATGGCGATTAAACATATTATCCTCAAAGACCATAACATGAAGTTTCAAAACGTCCTAAGTGTCCTCTGTATTACGGCGTAAGCAGGAAAGTAACAGCTACTATAAAATCAACGAGTTATTTCTAAACTAATTTCCTACAAAAGATAAAAGGTATCATCTGGCCTAACACTATTTCCAATTAAAGATTACCAGGAGAAATGGAAATAAAAGCCTTTTCAGAAAGAATTGGGGAAAAAAAGATTGCGCTGGAGGGTTATGTTTTGAGAATGAGTTATGATATCACAGGAGTGGCGCTAAGCTGGACGCTTCAGGGTAGATGAAAATAGATAAGGCAACGGAGGCACGCAAATATATCAGTACGTCCATTTGACCTTATGTCGGAACAGAAAGTTGTTCTTTTTCGTGCAGCATCCTATATCGCTTCTCAGCTTGCTACTGCAAAACCGTGCAAAATATTTTTCTTCTGCTGTGTTCAGTCCGTACTAAAAATTATTTTATAGACATAATGATTCATTAGGTAGATGAAATTAAGTTCACATGTTTTTTTACCTCTGCAAGATGCTCCCGCCGACTTTACTTTCCTTAACGTGAGTCAGGTACCCATCAGGACAGGATGGACTCAGAAACTTTCCACTGACTTGAACCCGGATTCGAACTCGAGACTTTTGTGTTAGGAGTCTAGCACTCTACCTCTAAGCTGCCCGCAACATAAGCGATCTATAATGCCTAAGTGTTTTTGATGACTTTTATTTATGTACGATAAATATTACGTCATTCCTTAAAATACAATCAATCCATGCTAAGTGAATTCTTACCACACGTAAACAAAGATCTCGTTCTGAATGTAACTTGTAAGAGAGTCGAGTCTTTATTTAAACTTACTGTAAAAACTGTAGACTGTCTCCATTTAAAACACAATTACCAGATACAACGTTAAATGTTCAATATTCTCCTATTATATTTAAATAAACTTCTTCTTTGTTCTTAATTTTTAGTGTTGGAAGAGATCGAGCATTATCTGCCAGACGGTTTGAACTGGAGACTTTTTCAAATCTATCAACCATGAGGTTTTTGCCAACTTGACCACGCCTCCATCACAGTTAAGGATTAAGGCCATTGACTCCGATTTCAGCCTGCTTTTCTTTTTGGATTTCCAACCACAGCCTGTGTACATCCAAGAACAAACTACAAAGCAGCAGTTGTTTGATTCTGGAGTTGTCTCTCCTAGAAGAGTGGCTGTTCACAGCTAATCAGCCTCATCTGCCCGAGGATTCGAACTCGAACACTATAGATTTTTTTTGCACCCTTCATTACAAAACATGTTCTTCCACAATAATATAGTTCACGCGTTAGCTTAGCATTATGGTTAATGATTTTTAAAAATCGATGTACGAATTTAGTACTTCCACAAAAGCAGAATTGAAAATGAAAACCCGTTTGTAAATAAACTAAAACTGAATCGTTGCATCAAAGTAGACTTTTAAGGGAAATAACTGAACTATAACAAAACTATATACATTATAATGGTTATGGCTCTTCTTTACGATTCATGTTAATTTAGTTGTGTAACACCTTCTATAAGAAAATGTTATTCACAAATGACATCAGGTTTTTGACGACGTGTATCCCCTTCCCCGCTCCCATCATCACAATTTCTCATGCAAATTAGACCTCCAACCCAAAAATACAAACCAATCAAAGCTTCTTTATTTATTTCATAAAGCACACAATGAATATTTATTTATAATATATTTTTCTTAGCTTGGTCAAAATTAAGTAAATTAATCAATTTCTATTACAATCTATAAAAACAACATTTTAAAATTGGAAACGAAGATAACAGTATCGCTTGTAACTATACCTTTTAAAAGCTCAATGTGTCCTCAAACTTCCCCCCCCCCTTTTCCTATATATAGCTCATATTTAACACACGATCAATATCACCAACTGTCAAACAAAACAGCCATCATGGTTGTGATAACATTTCTAGTAGGATTAATCTTTTGAATAAGAGGAAGAATTTATTACAAAACAGCTCAATTTTTTAAGAAAACTTTCTTACAATTTTCTTCTTTATTACAACAAAAAATTCAACTAAGAAATCAGAAGAGTGTAATATATTCGTTCTTTAACCTAAAAGTGTTGCTCGTAAATCTTTTTTTAAAAGTAATATACCAATTACGAACATTGGAAATTAATTTAAATTTATAAGTAAGATAAGAATAGTATTCTGTCCATATATAAAATATACAATAAAAGTGTCCACATTTAAAGACGTTTATTTTCTAAAGAGATTCTTACAGGTGACCCTGTATTTCGTGCTCATCTTGTAATGCACCAACGGGTTAACGGCTGAATTAATGATTTCCACGAAGACAACAGCACAGTAGCAGCAGACCGTGACGTCAAAGTACCTCCCGCGCATGCCCAAAGTCCGTACAACAGCCGTCACGGCAAGAAGTACACACTGAGGCGTCTGACAAACTATAAATAGAACGGAAATCACCGTTAACATGGGAATTAATTTTCTCTCTTTTCGGTATCGTCTGCTACTGACGTCTGACACAGCTCCTGCCAGAGGTTTTCTCCAAGACGATGACGTCATAAGTGACGTCACAGTGACACATGTGCAAACTATTATGACAAGAAACGTAATATACGGCACGGCAAGATCCGTTACAAAAAAAGATTTACTGAACACAGCATCGCGATTCTCACGGAAAAATAGCCCAAGAACAGTTGAATTGGTGTTAGTAGAATTAACCCATCCAAAATAGTACACTAAACACGCAGGGGTAAAATTTAACAGAGTAATTGAATAGAAAATAACCATGGCTGAGGAGCTTATCTTCCTTGTTATGAATGTTTTAATTTGTAAAGGCATCAGCACACACAAGCACCGCTCTAACGCGATGTAAGCAGTGATGAACCCACTGACCCGTGTGAAGTAGTTATGGGGGAAAGTAGAAAACATCACTGTAAAATCTATTGGGTCGAAATTCAGATTTGAGTTTAAAGTCCAGGGGTTTATCAAGACGCTAAAGAGCTGTAATGTAAGAATCGAACCGATGTTGCACAGCGCTAAAGCCGTGAGGGAAATGTTGGTTGTCTCCCTGTAGCCCTGCTGGCTGAAGACGACGATGCTGATGATGTTGCCGGCTACACCAACGATGCTGAGGAGACTCTCTAACACGAGGCTGATGGCGAGGAAAATGTCCAGCACGGCATGGTCAACAAGTCCAGAGTTTGTCGACATTTTTTGTTAGCAAGATGACTTTGTAATTTCAAAA